ATCCTCAGCACCATATACCAACAAAGATGTTGTGTCCGCCGAGAACTGAAAAATAAATATTAAAAATTCTCTCTCTCTCTCTCTCTCTCTCTCTCACACACACTCTCTCTTTAAAAAAAAATGTTTGCTAACAAAAACTGATCATTGATAGCTTAATTAGGTAAGTATTTAGAAATAGCAAGATTAACTTGATAACAATGAATATTAAATGCAGTGATTTAGCACAAGAGATTTCAATTGCACTAATTAGCTCTGTAACGTGGAACAAGATTCTTTTGCCTCATCAGGTCTCAAATTCCCCATCTGGGAACCAAGGGTGCTGGACCTCAGCCCTGCTGGCTGTGAAGCTACCACATAACAATGTTATGCCTTAAGAGACCTGCGGCTTTGCTGCCCACTATTTTAAGACAAAGTTGTTGTTGTTGTTGTTATTAGTGGTGCTGGGGATTGAACTCAGGGCCTTGTGCATGGGAAGCAACCACTCTACCAACTGAGCTGTATTCCTAGCCCCAAGTTTTCATTATTTTTCTTAGCTGTGAAGTTTTTAGAAAACAGTTCATGTCATGCTCCACACATAGTGCCTCTGAAGACAAGCACTTGACGTACATTGCTTCATACAAATTTTACAAAGTGAAAGGCAGACATGAGTCCCATTTTGCAGAGAAGGAAACTTGGTTATTCACCTAGACAGGGTGAATACTCACCTGAACTTTTCAGTTATTAAATAGCAGAGCTGGAATTCAAAGCCACATCTGTGTGACTCTGAAGCTTGTGTCCTCTTGGTCACTTCATATCTGTTTAATGCAAACCTCAGCAGGGAAGTGACCCTTAGTATTCATATGAGAAAATGTTGTAGAACTGTTATGGTTTAGAGATGAGGTGTCCCCCCAAGTGCACAGGTGTGAGACTGCAAGGTTTCCAGATGACATGATTAGATCAAGAGAGCTGTGACCAGATAGTGAGTGGTTAAAAGTAGAGGTAACTGTAGACAAATGGGGTGTGGCCGGAGGATGGGAGTCACTGGGATCGTGCCTTTGGGGTTACTGTTTTGTCCTGGTGAGTGGTGTCCTCTCTCTGCTTCCTTGAAGTCATGTCCTGAGCCGCTTTCCTCCGCCATGTTCTTTTCCCTTGATGTTTGGCCTCACCTTGGGGCCAAGAATAATGGAGTCAGCTATCTATGGACGGAGACTTCTGAAACCAGGAACCAAAATAATCTTTTCTTCCTTTACATTTTTCTTGTCAGGCCTTATGGTCATAGTGACAAAAAGAAGAACTCCCTCACCGCAGCTCTGAAGCTTAGTGTCCTCGGCTGGGAGTTTGTGAAGCAGATCCTAAGACACGGAAGTGCTTCCAGTTGTGTATTTGGGAGGTGACCCCAAGAAGCAG